TTAACAAAACAAACCACGCTCTCCACTAGATAGTGATTTATCCAGTGGAGAGCGTTATCCACCTTTCGAACAACCTGGGCTAGCATAGAGTCGTTCCAGAGCGAGGGTTTGAGTCAATGTTATTTTAAATTCATTATTGTTGTTTTGTTTTTGTATTTTCTTTTTCTTTCTTTTTTTTTTTTTGGTAAGAGTCGTCAGAAGTATCATGATCCACGTTAAAAATGATCAAACCGAAATTAATTCGGAAAAAGCCCCTTCAAAGTGTAAAACAAAAGCGAAAGTTTTAGTCTGCGCCTTCGAAAGCCACAGCTGCCTGTGCTTGGACATAGAATGGACCTTCACGTTCATATTCACGGAGCCGTAAATGGAAGGGTTTATCAAACACTTCCTTGGAGAATGGAGACCTCACAAGTTCTGCTATAAGTTCGTACTTCAGTTCTTTGCCGGCTTTGTCCGTTTCAGTTTTCCTATCCAGTAGATATTCAAGAAATCCTGCCGGAAAGAAATCCAGAGAAAATGTTAAGTGCTGGTGCTGTTGTGAGCAGGATAGAAGGGGGCCTTCAAGGATAGTTATACAGGAAAAATTTAACGTTTCGGCAAACAGATTTGTAATACTTCCCAACTCAAACACGTTTTCCGTTTGGAGGAGAACATGTTATGTGTTCTGAGTCAAAAACTAACTCCCTAGAGCAGGCAAAACTCACTAACTCCCTAGGGAAACAACAACTTGAACTTTCCGGCTCACACGTGATCAGGTCGTGCACCTTGAAACTGAGGCAATTTTGGATGTCAGCTGGCATCGTGCAAATACATTTTTTTTCTTTTTTGCAGTTTGTTCTATTTTAGAGTTGGCAGTAAACACTTAATGACTGGCCCCACCGGAAACAGTAAGTTTTGTTTCCCCTCGACCCGAAAATGTTCCCCAGTCACTACATACTAGACCTTGCAATACTTGCATGACATGCAAATTATCATAATTATAAAACCAGATTTACATATCCCATCCTCAATTAACACTGCAAAGGAATTACTACCATAGAGCAAGGGAAGTGCCTAGGAGCAAAGCAAAAAGGAACTCAACTGCCTCTCTCTGATAAGGATTGGTAAGGAATGGATTCTTAAAAATTACTGCTGAAGTTCCAAGCTGTGGCACCAATTGTCTATTTCACCGCAAATGAAGACTTCTTGCCAAATTTTTCTAGACCTACACTGAGGCAGCCAGGCCACCTTGGGTAGAACCTGTTCTAGAAATGATACATGCTGTTCTTATTTGTTTTACCTGGACAAGTTGTCATGCTCTCCTGTGCCCATTTGTACTTAGCAAGACTTCTAAACACTTTCAAAACTGCACAGTGAACATCTTGAAAAGGCTGCTTGGAAACGTCCATCAGGATCTGGAGGGGATTAGATGCCATGGAGCTAAAGAGTGACCTTGTGAGCACTGCCAGATCTTCAGAAGGAATGTCAGCTGAGTGAAAAATCAATGCCAATGCTTCAAGTGATCGACCCTTTACATCTGCTTCAGAGGAGTTGATATTGCTACACAAGATCTTCATGATCTCATCATTGCGGGCCTTGTTATCAAACACTACCCAGAGACCTTGTTCAGAATGTGCCACAACACCAATTGTTTGTATTGCAATCAATTTAAGGGCTGGATCAGCAGCTGTCAGGAAGGAGAAGACAGTCTGCAAGAAGATGGGGTACTGTTGGGTCACCTCTGCTGGTCTGGATTGTGCCAGATAGCCAAAGAATCTGATAATGCCTGACAAGAAAATAAATTGCCTCAAGTTACCCTTATACACAGTTCATTATCAGCTCAGACTTGCCAATTCTCTCTGCCTTTCTCAGCCCAGTTCCAATTTCTTAAGTAAAACTTATTGCAAGATTTTTCTAAATGTCATGTAGTAATTAGGAACTTTAATTTTGTTTCGACCATAAAATTATGAATACTTGCATGCATGTCTGTGTCCTTAATTCTGAGATGCCAAATTATAATAAAGATGTGTTAAGGCCAACAGATAAACTATTTGAGGCTATTGTTTATAATTCATCTTTATAATTAAGATTATTATAAAAAAAATTGGACTTGATCAATCAAATTCAATAAATTATTGCATGTACAGTAAACTATGTGGTGTTCACTAGCCTTATTTCGTCAAATACAATTTCTTAAAAGGGTCCAGTAGCCAATTCCCTTCATGAGACACGCTTGCAGGGAATCATGGTAGTTGTATTCATCATTTTGGACTGCATATTTGTTTTGATGAATACAACTACAATGATTTCCTGCAGGCACATCTCATGGAGAAAATTGGCCATTGCCAATGTTCATTTAGAAATCTGTGGCTTGTGTATTATATTCTTACTGTAAAACAAATCTTACTCGGCAACATCAGGGACATCAGAGGGTCTGTCTCGGCACTTATCAACAAGTTGTTTAGCCTTGTTACTATGCCACTCTCTTCAACAAACATCAGCCCATTCTTTCCTGAATCAGCTAATTGCGTTAGAAGCTCAATGCAATTCAATCGGAGCAAAATATCATCTCCATCTAGCTCTTTCGTCAACTTCTCCAAAACTCCAGAGTTTCGACAGCTTTTAAAAGCTCTCTCAGACAAAGCTTGAACTGACACCATTAGCTCATAAACCCTGAAACGAATGACATCCTTTTTCGTCAGAAGCTCGTCAAATTCGCTCTGAATCTGATGTTGAAACAAAATCTCCAGACCTGAGTCGTGTTTTGCGGTGTTGATGAGCGTGTTTGTGGCCAGCTTGACACAGGTGAGGTTTTCGTCGCTCAGAGCACGAGCAGTATAAACAAGGATATCCACGTTATCCAGCAGTGCTAACAGGCCGTTGATGCTTGTGGAGCATCTTTCCAGCTCGCCTAGACAAAACTCACGGACTTCAAACTGTGAATGATTCAAGCCTTCGATAACAAAATCATGGTAATGTGTTATAACCGCGTCTGCTTTCTCTAAAGACAGGAGTTTCTTCAAAATCCCTTTGCACAACAAGATTTGCTCTTCGTTTGTCGTACTCAAACAGCCAAACAACAAATGCACCGAAATGTATGGCGCCAACTCACGAAGACCAAAGGATGGGCTGTTCAGAAGGGCGCTTAAATCTTGTAAAGCCACCACTAAATCGTGGCCCGATGATACTGAAATTTTTTGAACTATCTCGTCACATTTCTCGGCGGCCATCTTGGGTTAGTATCTGCGCCCGCGATAATAAGGTTCAGCGATTAGCAAGAAGGCAGTTTAGTCTGTCAAGTAAAAGTACACAATTTTTATACTCGCCGATTTCAAAGCAGTTAGAGGAATAGGACGGACAATAAATGCGTATTCATTTGGGAATACGCAGAGACACAGCTGCAGTTATAGAAGATATATTTTGTTTGTTTGTTTGCTTTTTTTAATTAGTATAATATGACAACCATGGCCTCTGTGTCCCCATCAGTTTCTGAATTTACATGATTGCCAGACATCACTTTTCAAAATTTTGTTGACTGTCCCCTGACTTTTCCCTGATAAAAATCAAATTTCCCTAATTACTCCCCCCCCC